CCTTGCCGTTTTTTGTCTCTGCGTGCCAAAATCACCTGCTGATCAGCGTGATCGAAAAGGGTTGAGTCACAACGCCAAAAATGTTTGCTTTGCTCATCGTATCACAGGAAAAGCGTGCTCAGGCTCGGTTAGCCGATACATCAAACAGTTACCTAATTCAGAGAAAGAAACTGCGGTGGCTGGAAAATGGTTTGTATTGGCCTGACGTTTCGCATTCTTCCTAGAACCCATCATCAGAAGCGGTCCCAGATAAGGATATGCGCGTTACCTAATTGACAGCATTCCGCCATTTTCTCGATCCGACAATGACGCAGGAATGCTGAGCTTCGCTGATTAAAACCGGCAGTTTATCACTAAAACTTTCTCCCAGCATTACTAAAAGCGCATACGGATATGATATTCCAGTGATGGTCCTACGGGTAGCAGTCTTGGTTAGCATTTAGTTAGTTCACGGTTTCATAGCCGAGGATATTATGGTATTCGCACGCTCCTTTGCCAAAACCGACCACGTCTACTGATTAGATCACGATCTCGTTCTTACCGACCTCCCTATTTTCACGCATCCGCTCCCCAAAGTTCTCATAAAGTTACGATAGCCTAGCTACACTGCAGCTAACTAAAGACAATAAAGTTGGTGAGTTGGAATATTCGGAAAACCGCCAGCCCCTACCTCCACCGTGACATTTTAGGTTCTCTCTCTCCCCTGACAGGAGGTTTCTGAGGGCGGCCAAGGTTGCTGCCTCTCAACAGGCCTCGCCCTCTGCTCCTCTCTGACTATCGTTGAGAACCGATACTCCCTTCGCCACATCGTTGGCCACCGGATAGGCATTCTGAAGTGCATCAGGCCAGCAGGTGCTCAAGCAGGCAAGTACCCTCTTCATGGCCTCTCAAGACACACTTCGGCTTTGTTTTTGGCAAGCGAATGAGAGGCACTGAAGTGGCAGAAAGCTGACTAACGTTCAGGGAGTACTTCACTGGGACCGGAAGGGCTTGCGAGATTGAGTGAAGGATAGAGAGCGGACACGCGAGTCGGGTTCTGCGACGTGTTCATAAGTATAAGAAAGAAACGTATTTTTGGGGAATTCAAACCTTGTAGTGTTTAGCTCATGGCCCAGCGCCTTTTAGAACAACTTTTAGGATCAATTTGAAGGCAGACTTGACAATGAAAGCGAACGAGGTGGCTGCGTCTTCTTGGTTTGCTTGCGGTCGTGTCTCGATACAAAATCAGTTGGCCAGTAAGAATATTTTTGAAGGAATGGAAATTGCGCGCTTTAAAGTTTTAATTTGTCAAGCATTCGAGTACGTCTGACATCATAGTTAATTAGGCGTAGACACAGCCGAGATGGCATGCTTAAGATTTTTTTCTTTAGATGCGAATCTCGTACGCACATGGGAAAAAAGTTATTTACCTGACTTCCCAGAGTAAATTAGTTCAGTTTGGAAACAGTTAAAAAAACATAGAACTTTCAGTACTTCCAGCTCCTCGCAGCTGAGCCTGTCTACCTGAACCCCGATCTCCTTTAATAAATTTGGGACAATTCTGTTTCTGCTACTGCTTTCTGGTTATGTCTCTGATGAAGGATCCGCGACGGATTTTGAAAAGTCAGGCAAATAAAATGTTGTCCCAGCGATCGAATCTTCCTTTCCTCAATTCAAACTCTGACATAGAACCCAGAAATTCACGTACCCAGGCCATCTTCAACTCTGTTGGTAAATCTAGGTACTAAAGATTTTGCGTGAAAACTGTTCCGAAATCAGCAGGTACTACTTGCATTTTATCAGCTATGTCCCGCAAGTGCAGTACCGCAGTTCGTACTGGTTGACTTGCAGACACGATCAAACTTGAGCTGCAATGAACGGGTAAATGGAAGGGTAGGACAGCGGGTTCGAGGAACAAATATGTTATCCTCAGCCCACGAAAACACGGGTTTTCTCGTAGGAAAAACATGCCTGATGCATTTTAAGGTCCTGAGCGACTTTTAACTGTACGGCCTATGGCGCGTCGGTCATTGCTTGCGCGGGAACCTCATTGCGGGCAAATCTCGAAGGCTCAGCTGACTATTGATTGGTTCGCACGCGCGTGAGCAGCAGACACTGAATGGCTGCCCGATTTAACATGTGCATTCCGCGGCCGACCGGTCGGCCTGGCCTGCGGTTGCGTCTTCCTTTGGCCTTAGACCGTGACTTAACACTGTTTCCTTTCTCTATAAAAGACTTCAACAATTTTATTGCCAAATGTTCATAGTAGGTGGTTGTGTAAATCCGAGGGGGTGAGAAGTAAGGTTGCATCCCACGGTTGCCCCCGTCTTTTGGCAAGTGCCTGCGCTAACTCCTCAGATTACGGGGAGAAACGAGGAAAGGTGATGTTCTCCCACTTTTTATCTGAGAACACGGGAAGATGCTCAATATCTGAACTTCAGGATGATGGAATGTGGAAGAAATTGTCAAAATCAAATAAAAAAGGGGCATCGAATAATTGTCTTTTTCATGCTCAAATATAAAAGCCTGGCGCGTCGTAGCTGGGCGGATTCGAACTGTCAACATCCTTCTTTTGCGCTGGGGGCCTGCCAATGAACTAGGCATTGCCTGCGTCCTAAATGTGCAACTTATCGAAATTTTGTAGATCTACTTCGCATTTTAGGGCGAATGTAGGTTTAGGCCAGTTTGTACTGGAATTACAAACCAAAGCTCTATGAGGAGGGGATGGGTTCTGGCAGTAGACAACTTGATAGCGCCGCCTGCACGAGTTGCCTATTCATCATGGTAGATCCTAAAACAAGTGCTACTTATTAGCGTGGAGTGGCGCGGGGGCTTACACTTATATTTTAATCGGACAGAAAACCAGAATCCGTACTACACATACTCGTGTGATCAACCTTTACTAGTCATTTGGTCCTTCCTTAACGTAGATGACAGGGCCTGAACCTATAGGTCAGATTGAAAGTGAAAAGTACCTCAATCGTCCTAGGTTAGACTGCAGTTGATAGTGTTCTGAAAAAGGGTAGACTTTGGGATGGAATGCAAGTATTCGCCGCTTCTCCGTCTGTATACGTGGTGCTACTTTATAAGGAATTTCTTATTTAGTTCAGGGACGTGATCTATAAAGATCTACAAGGCCCTCAATCCATTTAGTCGCCTATTTCTCACACCAGTTAACTCACCGGCTCGGACGGGGATTGTGTCCTGGGAAGGGTAATAGAGAGAGAGA